AGACAACTTTACTATTGATCTAAGGTTTATGTTGAGATTACAGTGCGAACGACCCCTAAATGTTTAGGGGAGAAAAAGAGAAGTTGTCTGATAACTTACTAATAATGAACAGCAGAAATTCCTTGGAAGAACACTTTAGTCACAACAGGATCAATGTTGGAATCAACCCAATTAGCCCAAGTAGTTAAAGCAATCTTGTATGCTTCCATATGGTCCATCTCCTTGTATAATTTGTCACCAACTTGAAAATAGTCCCACCTGCGGAAAAAAACAGGACAATGTAATTTTTCTTGTAATACGAAATAACGGAGTTTGGCTTCTATTAAGTTAGTGAAGAAGATGTGTACGTTTGTAGGCGTCCAGTATGTATCCACCAATGGTAGCTATTAAAGATTAAGACATCAACTCCTTTCCACTGCTCAGTTCTGCTGAGTGAGTCGAGCTTGAGAACTCGTCCTTCTTCCTCGATCACTAGGTCAACGAGAAATCCATCTTTCAAGAATGTGATTGTGAACTCAAACTCCTTCACAAGCCAAAAATGAGCATGAGAAAGAAGGGCAGATTACATATCAGAAAGTTAAAAGCAGTTTCAGAGCAAGGAGATATATTTTTCATCATAGGCAAAGTATTCGAAGAACAATGGTAGTTTAACCTCTTGGCACTAACCACAACAATTATATATGAAAATTTCTAAAATCGATGGATCTATCACATATTAGAATCAGCTTCAAGTTAGATTTGTCAGTTACATCAAAGGAGTAAGGGCTCTTGTTACAAATTCATAATACAGACAGGTTCGCGCGTTATACTGAGTTGTAGATGAATGACATGTTAGAATACAACAAGTATTAATCAGTCTAAACCTTGGAGGAATTCCAGCAGTTAGCCTATCTGCAAGATCTAAGATCATTTACTAATATGTTATCGATCTGTAAACATGCTAGCATTGTTGAAATTGGGGGCAGATCATATCCCCACATACTAATCTAGTAAATTAGTACTACTTGTTTTAACCTGCCAACCTCACGACTCTTATTCTAATAAAAAAACTAAGCGCCCCTATTGAACATAGGTTGCCAAACTACGAGCAAGAGTTTCACCTTTTGAAGTGTCAGTCACAGCCTTTAATAGTGCTAGTCACGTAAGCACGCCAGGTTCAATCAAGTCAAAAAGGTTTTGATGGCTCAAGATTTGTATTACAGAAAGGATAGTGATGGGAAGGGGGCAGCCCTCGATTGGTCCCAACGGTGGAGCACTTTAACCAACAACAACACACTAGGTGGAGTCTGGGAAAGGTAGGGTGTACGCAGACCTTACCCCTACCTCGTGAAGGCGAAGGCAGAGAGGTTGTTTTCCAAAGACTCTCGGCCCAATTAACTCATAACAAAGCAATGTTAAAAATAACATATAGACACGCAAAGCAGACATAACATAATAACAAAATCATTACATAGCTTTCAACTTTACCAAACAGAAGATGATAGAGGGGCAACGATTAAGTGGACTAACCGGGAATGAGAGAACGGAACGGTTTCTTGTCCTGTCAAATGTGTAATTAGAATTTGGAACTGCAGCATGAAGCATGCATGCTAGTGATTGCCACTGGTTATTGCTCAAGGAATCCCCCACAAACATGAAGTTTTTGCCTTTGAAGTTTTTCAAGAAATCTTCACCATTGAACCTATGTATGCCATAATCCATAAAAATTCATTTTAACAAGTATTTAATAACAGTAATGAAGTCATAATTTTGACTAAAGGAGTTCAATATATGAAAAAGTAACAAAAAATGAAGCCAAAAAAGGTTCAATATCTATTATATATATACATAAAAATAAGTTTAATCATGTATACACAGTGTAATTTTCTATTACGGGTACAGATGAACAAGCACAAAAATATTCTTTCTTTTTAATAACAACTATTATTTCAGCTATACGAATTATTATTGACCATGTTGCTTAAGCCCATCTTAGTCCAATATTATACAAAACAAAAAAATAAAAATATTTCTATATTTTCTAGTGACATATAATCTTAATCAACTTAAAAAACTCCTACAAAGTATAGCAATGTTTTTTCTTTATAAGTTATCTTAGAAAATTATAAGGGAGGGGGCATTAACTTGTGTTTATGTGACAAAGCATAATCTATTCTAAAATCATGAATAAAATATTAGGTGGAAGTAGATGTAGATTAACAGTTGGGTAATACCTCCCTTTTCCTTACTCTTTATGTCTCAAAATATTATTAGTGTTTTTTATTTACACGTTTCTTTTAGATAATATTATTTAAAAAGGAATTTTGATTATTTTATTTTATTTATATTTTAAAATATAATTTTTTTATTAAATATTTATTTTATTCATGTGTCATAATTAAGATATTTTTAATTTGCAAGACCATTACTACTAAATATAAAATAAAAAAATAACTAATAAAATAAAAATTACGATAAATAATTTAAGACGAGGAAAAGAGGAGTTGACAATTACTAATAATCTACCAGAAGCAGCCGTTCTGTTTATTAGCAAAACAGAGTAGCTTCGACTCAAATTATAATTTAAAAAATCCGAAAAAAAATGTTTTCACTTTTTTCATGAATTTTCAGAAATTACACAAACTATAAACAAAAAATATATATTTTCACGAAATTTAAAAAACAACTCTAGTTCCCTTTATTTTAATTTTTTGTCAAACACAACTCCAACTTTTAAATATCATTTTTTCTTTGAAAACAAAAAAAAAATCTACTTTCACAATTAAACGTGGAAAAATACCTATTAAAATTAAGATAAGTGTAATTTACCAATAACCCAATGAGCTATCTTTACTAAAATTTAGACTCGTAAGCTCAAAATTCTAGCTTCGACTCTACGAACCCGAAATTTAATAGGAAAAAAGCCATTTATGTTACCTGGGGAGGTCACAATCTGTTGGCTGCCATCTATATTTGAGATAAAAATTATCTTTTCTTCCATTTTTGATGCAATTAAGACCTTGGTCTATAAATGGACATTGTAAAGAATCATAAATTGGATAAGATTCATCAAAAATCCAACTTCCTTCAAAAATATTACAGCTCCTCAATTGTACTGTTAATAGATGTAGAAAAACAAGAAAAAGGTAGATTTTGGTAATTGTTTTAGTAGACATTGTGAAAATTTAGAACACAAATTGAGAGTTCTTATGAAAATTGGGGCAAAATAAATAAAAATTGTAGTGTTTGATAATTAATGTGTGTATGTAGAGTTTGGTATGGATAAATTAGTTGGTTGTCTTTTTTTTTATATACTGGTAAAAGTGCACTATATTAGTAAAGTAAGCAACTGAAAAATGTCATCAACATTCTTTGTGTGAATGCTATGTCCTCTCCTCCTTTTCAATTTACTTTTCGGTGTTAAACTATCTGTCGTGTTTCTTTTTGTTTTTTTAGAGTGAAATGTCAAAAAATATCTAAACTATATCTCTTTTTGAGTTTCGTATTTAAATTATTAAGAGCGTGAATTTCATTAGTTTGAGAAACACACCTTAATAGTGTGTGTAATACACTTTTTTTATTTAAAAACGTTGTCACGTGACAATTCACATGAATAAAACATCTTGATAAAAATTCAATAATAAACTATTAATATTAGTTCAAAATTGAAAATTATCTTTCATAAAAAATTTTAAAAAAATCTTACTTTACCCCACTCCAAAATCTATGGTTAAAGAGATATTTGAAAATAATTTTTTAAAATTTGATCCAAAATATATGATCAAACATATATAGTCTTTGTTCATTGAATATTTACTTCATTTATGTGTCATCTCTCTATAATTGAGGTGTTCGTATTACTCAAGAAAATTAGTAGTACTATATATGGTTAAATAGATATTTGAAGATAAATTTTTAAAATTTGATCCAAAATATATGGTCAAACATTTATAGTCTTTGTTCATTGAATATTTACTTCATTTATGTGGCATCTCCCTATAATTGAGGTGTTCGTATTACTCAAGAAAAATTAGTAGTACTATATATGGTTAAATAGATATTTGAAGATAAATTTTTAAAATTTGATCCAAAATATATGGTCAAACATTTATAGTCTTTGTTCATTGAATATTTACTTCATTTATGTGTCATCTCTCTATAATTGAGATGTTAGTATTACTCAAGAAAGATTAGTAGTACTATCTATGGTTAAAACAGATATTTGAAGATAAATTTTTAAAATTTGATCCAAAATATATGGTCAAACATTTATAGTCTTTGTTCATTGAATATTTACTTCATTTATGTGTCATCTCTCTATAATTGAGGTGTTCGTATTGCTCAAGAAAAATTAGTAGTACTAAGGTATAATGAGAGAGAAAAATTAATTCCAACATTTTACATGACATATTTAAAATCATAATATTAAAGAATATTATGATACATTATAAATAACATTAATTTAAAATTAAAAAATTAAAAAAAAAAGTACTTTGAAAAATGTTATCTCCAATTAAATTAAAAACACATAATTTTAAACGAACTAGATATTAGACACAAAAAATTAGCCTTGTCACATGATTTACACTTCCCCTAAATTAAATAGAAAGAATCAAAGACAATTCTCAATATTAACGAAACACAATCTTTACTTTTGTTAGTCAGTAAAAGGAGGCTTTTTTCTCTACCTTTATGTCTAGACTCAAATTCACATTTAATTGAATTTTAAATGCAAATATCAAATTTTCAGTGGAAAAATAAAAAAAAATACTTCTTTGATTTTGAGAAGCTTTTACTTTCAATGTTTCAAGTTACATGATATCTTTTTAAATTTGGTTTTTCCTTTCATTTTTCCATTCAATAAGATTATTAGTCAGTAGTCATATTCTAAAAGAATATCACATTTAGTATACATTGAATTCAATCACAAATGAATACCATAATCATCCACAATTACCATATATATGTTCAGTATTAAATATTAATAGTAAATATGGCAAAAGAAAGTAATTCTCAGTACATTCATGGAGAAACTTCTTGATATATTTCCTACAATTGCAAATATTTGACTTCGGAACACTTTGGTTATCCGTAAAGTTGAACGAAATCTTGTTAAAGATCTCGGGTCATGGATCAACAAAGATGTGTTTCGAAGGAGATGCATTTACAGTTTTCCTATAAGAAACGAGCAGTTGACTTCGATCACCTCTTAACAACTAAGGTTCCGTTGTTATATCCAGAGATTCAACCCGACTGTCCATCTGGTACATGGATTCATTACCATAGGTACTACTACTCGTGAATAAGCATGACAAAATATAGTGCAGCCAGGCGTAGAACTAGCATGATCATGTCGGGATATAAGGACCTCACTGACAATTAGACCAATGTTACCTGTATGCTGCTGATCAACTCTTCGGATTCTGAATAAGCGATTAAAGACACATTTTGACTAAGTCTCAAAATGTCCATCAGCAAACGACTGGCAGAAGCCTTTATTTCATCTGGTATTACTAACTGGGGAGGAACTGATTCCAGTGCATACAGAGTAATAACCCTCATTACCACAGCCTAGTGTAAATTTGTCATATTGCCTTTCCAGACATTCTGAATCACAAACTTGCATGATGCTTTTAAGGCACATTTGCTGCATGCCTGAAGTAAACACGTAACGTTTCAAATCATAAGGGGAATATAGGAGGAAGATGGGAGGAAATTCGAAAATATCCCAAACAAAAAGGAAATTTTACTTTCTTATTTAAATCTTAGGAGCAGAGAAGGGAAGTGATGAAATTTCCTAAGAGCAAAAGAGACTCACATTAACTTCTTGAATTCTGAAATATGTACGCAACCTCTTAGCAGAAAAAGACAGTCTTCTTTGCAATAGAAGGGCAACCCAAAAGGGCGACTTTTTTCAAGTCACTGCCAGACAACCATCTGAACAACCAAGTTTACTAGATTAAGGAACTGAATAAAGAAAGCTAAACTAAGAAAAACATACCAAACATAGTACAAGCAACATGTGGGAATTCGTCAACAAACCGTGCCAACGCAGATGAAAGACAGCATCAGTCCATGCCTTTTCAAGTTTGGAAAAGGGACAAAAATATCTCTAACCTAATGAAATGGTTCACAAATACCCTCCGTCAACCTTTAGGTCTAAAAGTACCATTAACATTTTTTTTGGGCTCAAACATACCTCTGAAACTAACGGATTTGGGTCTTTAAAATAGCTTAAAAGGGCCAAAAATACCCCTAATGTTTTGAAAATGGCTCACAAATACCATTTGTTAACCTTTTGGTCTAAATATACCCTTAACGCTCTTTTTAGGGGGCTCAAGCATAGCCTTGTAACTAACGGACCAGCCTTGGTCAAATTTGGGTCTTTAAAACAGTCACATGTCATTCTAAGCTTGCCGCGTTTTTAATATAGGATTAAAGTAAAGCCCACTCATTTATCAAACCCAGCCCATTTTCATTCTACAAATTAATCACCCCATACAATTTTTTCTACCCAAAAGCATCCGTTATTTCCTAGAAGCTTAGAGGTGATAGGCGATTTAGGGCTAAACTTTTGTACTTGAAACTAGAGATTGTGGGTCATAACTTCATTGGATGTTGAAGGATTCTTCTTGATCAATCAATTTCAAAGTCTTGTTAATAAGGTAATTTTTTTACTACTTTATATGAAACTTTTTCTATTTAGATTTGATGCACTTGAGTGAAGGTCTTTCGAGAACAATCTCTATACCTCCACAAGATAGGGATAAGGTTTGCATACTCTATCCTCCCTAGGCCCACTTGTAGGATTACATTGGGTATGATGCAGTGTTATTAAAGGCAAGTGCCTTTCGCCTTTGGCAACAAGGCAAGGCGAGGCGAGGCGAGGCAACCTCTGAAAGGCGTACCATGGCGATCAAAAGGCAACTGGCGACGTGGCGTGGCGATGCAATAGGCATCACCTTTTTCTTTCTTTTTTTAAAGTCTGATTTAATAATTAAAAGACAAAATTAGGGTTTTTTTGGGTATTTTTGCAAACTCACCTCAGATTAGGCGTCGCGCCTGCTACTCCTCCTCTTCTCCTCAGATTCGCAAACCACAACCCCTGGAGACTTACGCAACCTTCGCGAATCGCAACGCTGCTGCTCAGGTACGACCCTAGAGACTTACGCAAATCTCTTCTTCTCTTCTAGTTCTTCTCTCATTGGATATTTATATATACAATTAAATTTTTTAATCTTTGGTATTAATTGGCGCCTTAATTCAAAAAGGCAAGCTCCTCGCCGCTCGCCTCGCCTCGTGGCGAGGCAGGCCCTTGTCGCCTTTCGCCGTCCAAAACAATGGTATGATGTAGATGTTGTTGTTTGTATGAAACTTGTTATGGTTTGAGATTTCTATATTCTTGGCCTTGGCCTTCGATAAAAAAAATTACTCCAATCATGTTGAATCTTTTAATGCTTTCTCATGAAATTGTTTTTTTAATCTATCTGTGTTGAAGCTTTTAATGGCTTTGTTTACTACTCCCTCTGTCCCGAGAACTCACATGTTTAGAAGATGAAAATTGCAAAGATGAGAATGTGGAGGTAGATGTGATACTCGGAGGGATAAGACTAGGAACTAATATACCCGGGACAAGGTAGGAGTTGCCTCTATGGTGCATAAGATAAGGAAAGTGAGGATGACATGGTTTTGGACATGCAAAGAGGAGAAGTATAGATGCCTAGTGAAGAGGTGTGAGAGGCTGGTAATGGTAGGCAATAAGAGAGGTAGAGGCTGGCCAAAAAAGCATTGGGGAGGAGATTAGACAAGACATGGTGCATCTTGAACATACCGAGAACATGACCCTTAAATAGGAGGGTATGGAGGTCGGGGATTAGGGTAGAATGTTAGTTGATAGTTGAGCATTCTCTCGCTATCCTGCGATATACGATTGGTGGCCATACTTAGACCTATTCCATTTTGTCCCAAATTATAACAATGTTAACCCAATTGTTACCCCAACTTCCTTCAGTATCTTTGTAATATCCCCGTTAGCTGTGTTTACTGGAGACACACTACATCAACTTTCCATGTATGTAGAATGTTTCTGATTAGCCAACTCTTTTTGGCACAATTTAGCCCCCTAACATTGCAAGACACTCTTTCAAACTTTATTGATCTTTTATTGACAAGTAAGTATCTCCCCTACTTCTTAAGTCATACCTCCAAAATTTGGTATCAAGATCTAACCTTTTCAGTTCATTCACCCCTTCCTTTCTTACAATGGCTTGCTCTCCCTTGTTCATCCGATTGTTGTTGTCTATCTTCATAAATAATTCTTTGGCCTTCTCATCGCACCTTTTAATATCTACACCCAATTCTGCGGTTAGTTTGATGATGTGTTGTTGAATCCGTTATAAAGAGTACGTGTCTTGAACAACCTCCTCAACTGGTAATTGGATTTTCAAAGGAACTAAATCTTCTTCGATGCAATTTGTTGCTTCATCATGTTCCTTCGGTTGCAAAGCCTTAGATTCCTCTTTGTCTATTCACCCAGCTTCTTCCAGTGATAAGTTTTCCTTAAATTGTACGATTTCAGTTGATTTATTCCCTGGCACCTCTGTATTAATCATACAAATGTTGAACTAGTCTTCGTGTGTTCTTCCTCACCCTCATATATCACTATGTTCTTCATGAGTCATGAGTTGAGTTATTGCAGACGATTGAATGTGCGATATTGTTCTTCTTACTATAAGTGTGTTTGCCTGGATTTCAATTGTGATAATTTTACAGTTTGGGCTTTCATTCTCAGTGAAATTGGGAAATCTCTGAATTATTGGGTTTGTTTTTGTAGGGATTAGAATTGAGCCCAAGTTCTGCAGAGTAAAAGGTCTAAAATTACATTTAAAAGACCCCTCTCTGTTACATGGCACCCAAAGTGCCTTCAACCTAAACTTTCCCCCATCGAATGACGTGCCCACGTGCCCTGCCAGTTTCACCCAGGTGTCAGCCCTTATGTCTCTATAAAAAAAAAGATAGCACTGAACCAGTGGATAATTTAAAGGCTCCCCACTTCTTCTTCCTTCGATTTCACAGTGATGGAAGCTTCCACCCACACCATAATTGTATAGATGAGACCTTCAGTTTCCACTTCAACCTCTTTAGAAATCTCCTTTCCATCTCCCTTCACTTTGATTCGAGCCCAGTGAAGATGATTTCTCAAAGTTGTCTCCTCCTCTGTTTCAATGAATCCACCACGACGTTACCTATCTCTTCAAATATCTTCTATGACCAGAGATTCAAAGGTAAACCAAGCAATCTGACCCATATCCAGTCCTTGTTGATCTCCTCTGGTCAACATCCGACGGTAGGATTCCACCATTGAAGGTTCAGCTGCTCTTCTTCCAAGTTCATTCTCCTGTCATAACATGTTCTGTGGCTTTCCTCATGGGGAATTCAATGAAATACTGAGAGTCACTCAGGCTGAAGACATTAAGTCCAAAAGTTGACTTCCATGAGTTACATGTCCATTTCCTCATATCATTTAGAATTGGCAGATCTTTTGGTGGTATCTTTATCACATTAGCCAAAACTTGTTTGTTTTTGTTCATTCCTATTGCAACAAGATGGACTTTACCGAGGCTGAGAATGGACCAACCATTAAATCTTGGGTGGAAATTTCTTTTACCAATTTCTCTCGGTAATCTATAAACAACTGGAATTTTCCAACTACACATCGACTCAATAGATCTGATTTTGGCATTGCTGAACCCCCAATTACAGATATTTTGTTGTTCCTTGCTGTTATGTGTGCTGTTTTTGTCTCCTCCGTCATCCATCTGCTGTTGTCAAAAGCCTCCTTGTACGAGGTTTCTGTTTGTCTATTTCTACCAGGAATAGGGTTCTTCTCTGTTTGTATCATTGATAAAGTTAGTAAATTTTTGGGCAATATTTCCCCAACCCTAGTTAAGAGGACCCTCTTGTGTAATAAGGATATATTTACTTCCCCCTTGAATGGGAATGAAGCTTATGTACCTACCACTTTCATTATATTTAAGAGTACCAAGAGAACTCTGAAAAGTGGTCCTTCATGCACCATCTCTTTGTTGTCTTCCTCTTTTCCTCTATTAGCTGCATTGAAGACGAACACCAACCACTTCATGACATTGATGCTAATAGTAACTTGTCTCATTTAATATTTGTTATGCTCAATCCAGTCAAACCGTACCACTGAATCTGAATATCTCCACGTAGTGTCATAGGATTTAAACCTTGCATTATAACAACTCCTATCTTCCCCCATATCTATTGAAAACTCCGGCCAGAGCAGCCAGAGAACTTCTCCCCTGGAGAGTGGAAAAATGCAAAAAGGACTAAAACTGACAACCTCAAAAAGTACCTGAGAGCAATTATGATAGTGTATGTGTTGGGAGGTATTAGAGCCCTTCAATATTTCTTGTGTAGTGAATTCAATGTTATAAAGAATTTGCAGTAGATGAGGTGAAGAGAATGTGATTGCTCCTAGTACATCTACGCTACATGAAGAAACTTCACTATGATGAATAGTACTAGGAGTATTTCTTACATGTTTGACAATCTGATGATTTTATAGAGAATTTTATCTCCTTTCTCTTTCGCTTTCCTGCTCATGGAGAAAAGAGGGTGGGAAGCAGATATAATGATGTTACTCATATCGCTTAAGACCAGCACAAATCTATGACTTTGCACTTTTTGATGAGAAGTGTTGAACTCTGCTCAACATTTTTCTATACTTAGGGAATCCGAAAGAATGACATTTTTTTTGATGACCGTGGTGTCCCCAGCTTTCGTGCCCCTCGATTAAAAATGGCATATTTCCCAAACACACAACATAATCAGTTATCAGTTTACGAAATGTCAGCTTCTATAAGGCGTAGACATAGACAAATACTTCCCCATTTTTTCTATGATTAGCAAAC